CCATAATGGGGATATTTGTATAAAGTGACTCAATGTCCGTTGTAGCAAAATATATTTGTTTTAAGTCATATGATTTTTCCTTTATCTCCTTATTTAACTCAATAATCTCACTAATCAAGCGTGTTGTGCTATCAAGAATATGATAAAATGACATATGGAACTTTTCTCTGATGATTTTTGAACAAGTGGTTTCAATACTAAATCCAGGAATTTTGATGGTTTTTCTGTTGAGTGGCCGATCCCTGAAACAATTGGTTTTCCTGGATATAGCTTTTTATGCACCTTAGGTAAAATACAGAACATCGGTAGTTTCGTTCTACCTCTCAATCGGATTCTTGAAACATATTCTTTTGGGATATTCCCTGTTTTTATCAAATCTTTGATTTCATCTCGGATAGTTTCGTATGTTGTCCACATTGGATTCTTAGAAAGTTCCTCATAGCTCTCTTTATCTTCTAATAATGCATATGCTTTAGCTTCATACACTTCTCTTGACATTACAACAATGCCTTGACATTTGTCAGCTTGCTTTACTACAATGTCGTTTCGTCGTTTTAAGTTATTCAATGGCTTATACTGGGATCTATGCATGTTCGGACTAAACGGATCTGAATTGTATACTATAGAATCTCGAATTAAGCCAAAGTTCATTTGTAGTTCGGGATACCTGTCGCTGTCAATTCCAGATCAGCTTTCAGTTGATTCTCCATACTCAACATTTTTGAGGGAATAAAGTTCAAACCGTATTCCAAAATATTTAGTTCATCCCTATCTAGAATTACATTTCCCACAGTGAAAACACTATTCGAGCCCCGTACCGGTGCCGTTTGAGCCCAGGTCATGTGGCAGTGTGACGGACGTACATACATATGGTCATGTGGCAGTCTGATGGACATACATACATATTGTGGCCAGTGAGTGTGACGGACATACATACATATGGAAACCAGTGAGTGTGACGGACGTACAGACATATAGTCATGTGACAGTGTGACGGACGTACATACATATGGTCATGTGGCAGTCTGACGGACATACATACATATTGTGGCCAGTGAGTGTGACGGACATACATACATACATATCGTGGCCAGTGAGTGTGACGGACGTACAGACATATAGTCATGTGGCAGTGTGACGGACGTACATACACAGAATCACTAATGAGTGTCGTTGGCATTGGTGCACAGACGTGCTTGCGTTGTTGTTTTGACGAAGAAGGCCAAACTTTGCCCCCACTTAGGTTTCTTTTTCAAGGGTAGGAAGACTGATAGATTTGGTAATATTACGTCCATTTCGAACATCTGTACGACAGATAAAACTAAATCAAATTGCAGAGTCTCGATGAACTGTAGCAATTCTGATAAATGTTTCTCACCGATGAAAAGCTAAAGCAAGTGGTTCTGTAGACTAAGATGGAAAATGTGGACGTTCTCATCGCGAAAAATATGCATCAATTCTGTAGTAAATCGCATTTGCTTGTTCATGAGCTCACTGTTCAATTCTTGAATAGTATCTTTGTGGGATCCTGGCATCCTCCAATTCAAAACTATGTAGTGGTGCCATAGTCGATTACCTATTCCCCATCATTTTTTTCCATTCAACTCGAAAGAACATTTCTGACCAATAGAATGCCTCCTAGAGTTCTGTCATGGTCATTTTCGGCTCCCTTATAGTCGAATACTCATTCCGCATCATTTTCATCCAATCAACTCGGAAGAATATCTTGGACCAACAGAATCGTCCTAGGGTTGTCTCATACTCATCTTCGGATTCCTCGTAGTTGATTACCTATTCCGTAGAATTTTCATAAATTTATTCCGGCGGTCGAGGATCCCAGGATCCTGTCGCTGCTTCGGAATGGGAAAACTATATCTCTGCCCAATTCTGTAGTAACAAGATCCAGTTACAATAAAATGAAGAATATTCTCGACACGATATTCATTCGACTTACAGTCAATGGACCGAGTGAATCGATGCGATTCACGTTATTTATATAT